TACTTTTCTAAAAGAGCTAAGGTGGCTTTGCCCCAGGAAAGAAAAAAGTGAAATTGTTTTGAAGACTGCTACTTGAAATTCCATGTGTATCTACATTATTCTGAAAGATCATTATAATTAAGCCTGGAAACAACGTATCTCCTGCTGTTTGTATTTTAATAAGATTTTTTTTTTCCCCCTAGAAATGAATAAACAAAAGCCTGTTGAATAGATACATAAAAAGAGGGTCTATAATACATTTACCAAAGTGTCTTCCCCTCCTCCACCTCTGACCCCTTAAATTGTCTTTGGATAAATCACATTGCTTGAAAGTACACGTATGAATATCTAAGGTGTATGTAGGTCGATATGTTGCTAACACTTTCAAAGCTGTTTTCATATGTAAGCAAGTATTAGCATTTCACATGAAACAGGAACTACGTTTGAAGCTGGCCCATGACTTGTATAATAAATTTAAAACAGTGAAATTGAAGTGCTTAGTCTAGCCTGTCACAAAAAGTACCCATGTATTGTGTCTATTGTTTCTAAATAAACCAGCTGACATAATTCCTGTTGGAAGATGCTCGTGATGACTTTTTGAAAAATAACATTTGGTCATGTTCTGGATTTTTTTGCCAGGTGAATGTAAAGCAGTGAAACATTGTGAAGCATATAAGCATTCCTCTAGTTACTAGTTACCACATACTAGGTAACAGGTACAAAGACCTTGTTGAAGCTTCTTAAAGCTTTCTCTCATGCTAAAATTTTTTTACTTGTAAGCTAGTTAAAATAAAGGGGTACTTAACAGTATTATTTTTTTATTCAACTACTTAGAAAGATCTTCCCCTTAAGATGGAACTAGCTACACTGAGGCAATATAGAGACCCACATTGTGTTCAAACATAAACAATCCAGGGTGAGTAAAGGTGCCTCATCCCAATTTACATATGCCTGCCTTTTTGTTTTGCTTTCTAATATTGAAGCAACTCTATTTATAGCTAAGAAGACTCTTGCCATGATGGCTGTGCCAGGAGAGAAGGCAACCATCAGATCCACAGCAACAGGAAGCTATTTTTGAAAACACCTGGTTTTTGTTTTGATCACCTGGGATGCAGGTCTGCCTTTGTGAATTTTTTGAACTCTGCATGTTGATAAAGGTGTTTGCTGCTTTCTAAGAATGCTAAAATATACTTAAGCAGTTTTGATGCTAGAATTTGTGAAACCTTTTATAAATAAAATATTCATTTGAAAATATCCTGTCTAGCTGCACAGAGCTTGAAAGTCATTCTCGTGAATCTCAATGTTGGTCTCAACAGTTTCTCCTTGATGGTAAAGTTTTTACGTAGGGGTGATATTTTTTAATTTGATCATTCTAAGATAGGCAGAATTCTGAAAGGGTTACGTAAGAAACAGATTATTAACATGGAGATATACAAGGAATGTCTTTATTATGCATGCCTCTGTGAGGATCAACTGCTCGAATTGCAACTCGTAGTTGAGACGCATCCTTTGACCTGAAGGAAGCTTTATATTTTTACTCAGATTATTTATAAGAACAAGAGTGCTAACCTGAAGTCCCTTGAAAACAATTTATGTAACTGTTAAAAATGTAAAAACGCAAAGAAAGCTTATTATTATAACACTTGCAGTATTTATACTGCACCTAGTACACTACGTAAATTGGCTAGAAACATCTGTCTACTTCTGCAAATACTATAGCTTGCATGACTGCATTAAGAGTCATGACTCTCTAACTGGGAATTGAGAAAATGTGAAACAAGGCAGTTGCACTGCAACTGAACTAGTCAAGATATAGGACATACCTAGTCTGAGGAAGATGTGGACTATTTACAGGTTGATCTGGTGACTTTACATAATGTGTGATTGCTAACAGCACTTTGTCTATTAAAAAAGTAGAAATAATATTGCTTCAAAATCTGAAAGCTTGAAGTGTCATTTTCCCTCCTACTCATGGTTTCACAGAAGATTCACTTTTTGAAAGCGAGCAGTATGGTTAAAACATATTTTTAAAAAATGCATTCTTTTGACATACACTGCTGTAGTTAAAATGTGGCACACAAGATGATTTGATTGTTGAAAAGTCAGTTCCACTTGACAGAAAGAATGGCCAGAAAATTTTTTCTTGGGATGGAATTTTCTGGGAAGGATTGAAATTAGAAAGTAGGTGTTGAGAAATGCGTTTTGTTCTGTTACTGTGCAGTGTTTCATAATAGTTTTCATTATAAAGCAATGAGGAAAGTTAAGGGTAAATTCCTGTGTGGGAGAAGGGGCATATAGGCTTTCCAAGTCTCTTGATATATGCTGCTATGCAACATGTGGAGCATTGCAATACACGGTGGTTGTTCTAATGCTTTTTAGCTTGTTGGGGATCTCAACAGAATTTTTTTTTTTTTTTTTAGTATACCTGTGTATGTGTCTGTTTGAGCATGCACATATAACTTGGCAGGAGTTAAAAGAATACAGTTAAAAACAAGAACAGTATAGGCTATTCGCTAATACGATAATACTACAAGATAAGAATATTTAGTCATATGTTGGAAAACAGGAAAAGAATGACCATTTACCTCGTGAAGGACATCATAACTGTCTCCAGGGGTGCCCCCTTTTGTGCTCAGCCTAAGCTGGCACGTGTTCATCTCTGCAAGCTCGGGGCTAGCTGATGTAATCCCTGCTAAGGGCTGCTGCACACGCGCCCAAATGCGCAAGAACTCTGTAATATGTGAACATACTGAACCTATTGTCTAACATAAAAGATCTGTTTTGTTCAGCTTTACCTTAAATGGGAGGGTTGAAGCACACAGTTATAAAATAAATTCTCATCACTCACCTCTGTGACTTCACGGGACAGGACAGCTGGAATGATGGGATTTTCAGACTTTCTTGGGCACCGTTGTTCACTCTCACCCAAGTTGCTGCAGTTCTCTCTACGACTCTGTAGATAGCCAGGACAATCTCCAGTGAGGGTACTGAACAGGCACAATACGTTTCGCATTGTAGGATATGCTTCCCATTGTATGTGTTGTGGTGCCAGGTTGGTGTTTAGCATCTGCACCATTCTGCACTTGGTGCTGGAGTGCAGTAAGTCAGAACTGGTTGTAAAGGACTGCTGGGGACGGACACGAGTGTTCCCAAGGTAAGAGCTGCCTTGGAAGCAAAGTTTTTGTTAAGAAAAAAAATGGTTGGGAACTATGCGTTCATTTTAAAAACACTGATGTCTGCCTATACAAGAATTGTAAAACTTACAGTTGGTTGGTGTATGTAGGAGGGCTGAAAACTTCCTCTGAAAGAGAGATTAAATGAAAAGAGTAATGAATGAGTTGCTTTTATTGTATTTGGAAGATTATGCATACCTTATACATAGTTTATACTTGTTTGTTTTTTTCAGTCTTTAAGTAGCAGTGAATCTTGAAAGGAATGTGCAGTGTGGATTTAAGTTGATTGTGATGATAAGGATTTGGATAGATCCTTTATTTCCACCTTTCGAACAACAACAACGAAGTTCTTTGTCCTGTTCTGTCCACTTGCTCTCAGTAGATGTAGTTGGCTGCTTAACATCTCTAAAGTTAATATTGTGGTGTTTCCCATAGCTTTTGCTATTTATGCAAGCCTATTTTGGTCAGTACTTACTTTTTGTTTTTGTTTTGTCAGCAGCCATGCAGCAGGTCCTGGATAACCTTACTGATCTGCCGACATCGACAGGTGCTGAAGAAATAGACCTGATTTTTCTTAAAGGAATTATGGAAAACCCTATTGTAAGATCACTTGCTAAGGTATTTAAACTTGCTGGTCTGAGTAGAATCTGGAAGTATTTTAACTCTTAAATTATTGTCTGAACATTGAGTATGGATTGAGGTATTAACAATGGCTTTTATGTATGGTATGTCTTATTAAAAGACTTGAAGGAGTTCTTGAAGGTGAAGATTTGGTATAATGTAATTTCTGTGCATGCTGATTTGTTGTTATATGGAAGACTCTAGAGGAAGAAGAAAATTCAGAGACTCCAAAATAATGTGGTAAAATTATTTATGAAGAAAATGTCAAAATACTTGAAATTAGAAACAGTTGGTTTTAATATAGTCTTGTGACCACTGTTGTGTGCAAAACCCATATGCCTTCTGACTTTTAGCATTTTTGCCAAAGGTGAAAAGTGAGAGCAATCACCTTTCCCCCATAGCGTAAACAAGTTTTCTGTTTGTCTCCAGCTCAAAATGATTTTCTGGTCAGTCCAGTGAAATATTCTCTCCATGCCCTTTCCTGGATCTCAGAGTAATACTGGGACCTTTGATTGTCAGCTCTTTAAGACATGAGCTGTCCTTAGTTTTGCATTATGAAATCCTTTTATTTATGGATGGTACATATTTATAAATATGTAAGGTGATATTTACAAAAAATCTTTGGACTCTGTAATTAAAATGTAGTAGGAGATGCAGTCGGTATTGCACAGCACTTAGATTCTTTCTTAATCTTACTTCATAAAAATAAGCTCCTTTCATGAGGAAAAAACAGTTAACTTAAATGTAGCTGTCTCTAATATGAATAGACATCTGAAAGCAGTGCCCTCTGGGCAGGCATGAAATACTCTGTAAAGCTAAAGGATTGTTGTGCAGGGATTTTGCTCAGTATAAAAATCTGGAAAGGAAAACTTCTCATAAGAAGTCATACAAGAACTTCTGTTAGCTGTTCAAAAAAATGGTTGTAAGTGGAAGACATTGCATAGTAATAAACTTAGAAATAATGGTTGTGCCTCATCTGCTAGTGATGTGACTGCAGAGGGAAAGATTTGTGTACTAAATTTACTAGAGTAAGTAAAAGCATTTGCTTACTTGGAGCTGTTTCCAACTTCAGTATCTGCTGTATACATCATCTTTAATTTAATATTTATCATGAAGAAAATGTTCATTGCAAAGCATTTTTTTCTTATCAAGAATTCGTGCTTTAATGGCCAATTACCATTATGAGGAATTTAATGACTAGCAGATGTAAAAAAGTGCTTGTGATGGAAACAGACTCTTAACTATAAACTTGCTTTATCTAGAATGCTGAAAGGTTTTAATTGTGTTCATATGGCATAACCTCACCTGTATTTTCTTTTGTAATTATTTCGGAATTAAACCCAAAAAGTCAGCAGAGCTAAATAAGGACAAGATCAAAACAACAACACATTTCATGAAGTGTATGTAGTTCATATATATCCATTTGTCTCTAAAAAGATATAAAACTTGTTTTTCTGTTAGAAGAGCTAGTTTTAACAGAATAGGCAATTCTCAGGACCTTGAGATGGTCAGATTATTTAAGCAGAGTCATTTTAGACCAGACCAGAAACGTAAAAGCTTTTTTGTTTTCCTTTATTAGTCAGTTATTAGACTAATCATTATGTAAAGTATCCCAAAAAGAACAAGAAGAGACTTAGGGAAATGTGCCGTGAGCCATACAAGCTTATTTTTTCTTTTCAGTCCTTAAAAAAAAATGAAGGCAAGCAGTAAGCATAGTAGTTAGTTTATAATATTTTGCAATGTAAAGTTTGGCTAATCTTTTGAAATTGCATTAGGTTCATTTTACACTTTTTCTGTCTAGAATAAAGGTGTCAAGGTAGAAGTTACAGATCTTTTTTCAGATAGGGTTCTTTTACTGTACCTTTCCATTCTTCAGTGGGTGGTAGGGGAAAGGGGAAGTAACTGTAATCACTGTAAAATGCATTTTCCTGTCATTTACACTCAATCCTAACTAGCCTTTAGAATCATTAGCTTTTTTGAAAACAGTTGCTGAGTTCGGAACATGCATGAATTTTACTCAGTTTTGCTACGGAACTGTCTTATCAAAATTCCTTTCTCCTGGATTGTTAACTATCCTTCTGAGCCTCGAAACTTTTATCTTCTTTTCTGCAGTCACACTATTGTTTTTAGTATTGTAGCATAGCCTACAGCATAGCAGGTGAATGCCTAACCCAGACCAAGGAAACATCTTAGGAGTAATCTGTAAACATTGAGTCCAGTATTTAGGATGTCAGGTTGTTGGAGGCAAAAGCCTTACTATTTCAACATTTGGCAAGTATAATAAATATTGAATGAATCAAAAGACTCAGTTTGGTATTATTATTTCTGAAATGGTGAACTGAACTAAACTAAAAAAAAAATTGCAATATCTAAGTTAGCTATTCTTTTTTTTCTTTTTTTTTCTTTTTTTTTAATTATTTGTATCACTCCATATCCTGCTACTCCCCAACATATTACAACATCAGAGGTTGTTGACTGACAAACTTTCTGTTTCCTGGTATGTACATGGCCTTGATTTTGCAGTGAAGGGTGAGGATATTTGTATTTAGATTATACTCAGTGGTAGTATTTTAAAGAAAATTAATAAGAAAGAAGGTAACCCATATTCTCTAATCTCATAAAGGCTTTGCAGTTGGAGTATTTTTAAAAGTCAATAGATTTGTGGTTTTACTTGCTGTAAAAAAAAGTAAACTTTAAAAGAAGGATATTGTTTACTGGACGTATTATGTACAAAATAGCATTCCCTTATTAAGGACAATATGTGTAGGTGCCAAGCTTCCTATGACTTTGTAGTTATGGTCATTTGGTTTGCGTGTGTTGGTGTTGGGGAATGTTTGAAATGTCTTTCTCTATGTTAAGTTAGCTTTTCCAGTGTTTTATCATCAGTCCTGCAGAAATACCATTTTATAGATAAGAAGAAGAATTTAATAATCAGATGATTTCAGGAAACAAAGTTTTCTGGTTTTAGCAAAATTTTATTTTGACATCTGTTTTAAAGCACTAATAAGAAAGTAGATGTGTTATGCATACCTTCAAATTCTATATATGGGAAGTATATAAAGATGACTCCCAAATATATCTGTTATTTGTGGTGTTTTTATATGCTGAAACGATTGTTCTTTTTTGAACTTCCTGTTGCTATGGTGTTGTAAATAACTTAATTGAGTGCATTGAGAATCTTAGTTATTTTTGTCCCCTTATTCCCTAATTCTATGATACAGCACTGCCTGTAATAAATAAGTGAAGCATTTGGATTTATGAGATGTTTGTCTTGCAGCTCAAAGCTCCTACCTTTCAATGAATTTAAGTATCTGCAGTGTTTAGGAAAGGGTTATGTCTGCAGCAATAGCTCTAGAAAGAGGCAAAAAGTTATCACAGTATCACAGAATGGTTGAGGTTGGAAGGTACCTCTGGGGGGCATCTGGTCCAATCCCCTGCTCAGGCGGGGCCACCTGCAGTTGGTTGCCCAGGTCCATATCCAGATGGCTTTTGAATATCTCCAAGAAGGGAGACTCCAGCCTCTCTGGGCAAACTGTGCCAGTCCTCGGTAAGGCTCACAAAAAAGTGTTTCCTGATGTTTAGGCAGAGCCTCCCATGTTTCAGTTTGGGCCCATTGCCTCTGGTCCTGTCACTGGGCAGCACTGAAAAGAGCCTGGCTCTGTCCTCTTTGCACCCTCCCTTCAGGGGTTTATACACATTAAGGAGATCCCCCTGAGCCTTCCCTTCTCCAGGCTAAACAGTCCCAGCTCTCTCAGCCTTTCCTCAAATGTGAGGTGTTCCAGTCCCTTCATCCTCTTTGTGGCCCTTTGCTGGACTCTCTGTGATACATCCAGAACTGTACACGGTATTCCAGGTGCGACCTCACCAGTGCTGAATAGAGGTTAACCTTCTGGTAACACTCTTCTTAATGCAGCCCAGGATACTGTTAGCCACCTTTGCCACAGACTTTTCTTTAGAATTTCCTTTAGTTATGCAGACTTTTCCTTTAGAATTTGCTCTTTTGAAGGTGTTTGAATGAGAAGAGACTGAGGTAAATGCTTCTCTTGCAGACTTTATTTTTTAATGTGCAGATCCCATAGTTCCTTTTTTGTCCTTCTTCTAGAAGGTGTACTTGTACTGGGTACTGAAGCAGAAAAGGTCCGAGGTGCTATATTGTTCAGAGAGGACTGTTTGGTGTATATAGCATAGAGTTTATAGGAAATAAGGACATACAAGCATCTCTGACAGCTGCTTATAAAGATTGTTGAGTCATGTAGTTAAACATGCACAATCCTTCAGTAGGTATGAAGATAAAATGAACAGATTATACTACATGTAATTTTTCTGGCTTTCCTGCTAAAGGTTGCACCAAGAAATTAATTAAAAGGTTTATAAATTGGAACTACTTGAAACTTTATTTACAGTATAGTCTCATATATTTAATCTTACAGGCTCATGAGCGACTGGAAGACTCTAAACTTGAGGCTGTCAGTGACAACAACCTGGAGTTGGTGAATGAAATTCTTGAAGACATCAGTCCCTTAATAAATAAAGATGAAAATATTGCAGAATTGGTTGGAATACTCAAGGAGCCTCATTTTCAGGTGCCATCTTTTTATTGTATATTACCAGCTTACTCTATCAGTGTCCACATATGGATCTAGGAATAGTAATGAAACAAAAACTGAACTGTAGCAAACTTTAATATGTAGGATTTTACTCCGATTGAAAGGTAGAGTAGAAACCGTGTGGGGTCAAGAATGAAGATGATTTTATTCTTTGATATCGCGTCAAGAATATCTTCACGCATTGTATTAAGATCCACTTGAGTTTCTGTTATAAGTCTTGGACAAACGTTTACTTCCTGTATGACTGGAGTTTCCATAACAATTCCCTGAAGGCTGCATCCTTAGCATTTCCAGGTGGTCTCAGTTCCTAATACTAACCATTCTGCACTTCGGTTCCATTGCTGGTATTCATACTCATGTGTAAGATATAGTTTGCAGAGTGAAGGAATGTGATTCTTCTGTGATGTGATCTGCACTGCAGCTTGAGACTCTGCATCCCTCTCACTGTTGCTCTACTTAGCATAAATGAAGTTTTGACATGCGCTTGTCAAAAGCAGATATTTTTCTATAGCTGCCATTCTACAACCAGCTTCTATACTGACCCTTGAAGATTAGGGTTTGTAAATCGTTGGTAGATTATGGATTTTCTAGGCAGGCTTCAGTTGACTTTAGTACTTAGCTACAGGTACCCTGTAGAATACCATAAGCAAACCTTTTGCCACAGTATAAATGTGCTTCTTTTGGCAGACAGGTATAGAGTCATAGACATTTTTTGGGTATATGAATTTAAACACACTTTTTTTTTCCTAAATTTTCAGTTATACATTATAGAAACATAGCAGTGATGTGCATTACCATTTAACATAGATAAACACTGGAAATGCTGTCAAGCTGTGGCATGCTGGAAGGAAGAACACTTTAAGAGCTCAGCTTTTGAGGTAGTAGCTATTCTGAGCACTGACGGTTCCTCTGCCCTTGTGAAGAGCAGTATGTTGGTTTCCCTTGTGCTCTTACTCATCCAGAAGGGCATCATAACTAAGGGATCAAAGACTATCATTTGGAGACTTACTGGTGAATAAACCTTCAAATCAGTTTTTCGTCCCTTAGCAGAAATTGGTATTGGAAAAGGAGAAGATGAGTTTGGAGGAATTAGTAGTTACAATGCAAAAAGGTTGGAATTGGGGGCCAACTGGTGCAGTAACAGACCTGACAAAGATCCATTGTGTTAGATAAAGAAACTAAAGCTGACAAGTCGAAGAGGATGAATCAAAAGAAGAAAAGGACTTAATAAGTAAAGAACTTGCTGGAGTAGACTGACTCTGAAAGGCACTGTAGTGATAATCTCTGAAGAGAGATGGCAAAGACCAGAGACCAAATGGGCAAAGAATCTTTGTGGTGGAGACTGGAAATGGCCTGTAGGAGACTTGAGATCAAGTAAGAATTCTAATTGGAGTGAATAACCAGTACTAAGGCAAAGCCAGCATTCATTCCTGTTCAGTGGTCATTTACAGAGAAGCACAACATGATGCTGATGTCAGTTACTCCATTAGTTCAGGCTTAAGCAACTTACACATTTAATTTAAAAGTTCCAAGTAGCTGGTGAACAAAAATGCCAATATTTACACTATTTCTTGTACATTTTTTGTTGTTTGATCTATAAAGAGCAGACTTGGAATTGTATATCTCTCTTCTCTTTTCCTTCCCTGTTCCCAACAGTAGGCATCTAGTGAAGACTGTAAGGCTAGGACAAGCCAACAGTGATACCTTCCATTAGTGATTTGTGGCTCACACTTCTGAGTGAGAAGTAGTATCATCCACCCGTGGTGGTGTTCTCTTCCATCAACTTGTTCAGTTGGTTTTTTGAACCCATGTGAAAATCCGGCATTCACAACATACCCCAACAGAATGGAGACTATGCTGTTTTGTTTTTGAGACTGTCTCCTGTTGATTTCACTTAATATCCCCTTGCTCTTGTGTAGGAAGAGATTGAACAGTTTTTCTTAATCAGCTTTTCCATGTTATTTGTGATTTGAGAGACCTCATTGTATATGTATGTCTATCTGTCTCAAATAAATAAAAAGAAGGGAAGCAAAGCTGTATACAGCTTCCCAGAGTCATTCACAGCAGCATAGATTTATGAAGTGGTGTAATAATTTCCATTGCATCTCCTACTCATTGCTTAAAATTTCATAGTATTTGGTTTGCCTTTTTAACAGCTGGTGAATAGAATAGAATAGAATAGAACAGAACAGAACAGAATAGAATAGTTCAGTTGGAAGGGACCTACAAAGATCATGTAGTCCAACTGCCTGACCATTTCAGGGCTGATCAAAAGTTAAAGCATATTATTTAAGGGCATTGTCCAAATGCCTGACAAACACTGACAGGCATGGGGCATCAACCACCTCTCTAGGAAGCCTGTTCCAGTGTTTGACCACCCCCTCAGTAAAGAAGAGGTACCTCTAGGTTCAGTAAACATAGAAGTTGTTTGGTTGTTTGGTTTGGTTTGGTTTTGTACTGTTTACACCTCTGAGATACCACTTCTGAGTCTGTCAGTTAACATGTTAAATTAGGATTGTATTTTCCCTTGCAGTCTGTGTTGAATTTCATTTGCCTTGTTGCTCATGAGGTGCTCCTGCAGGTTACAATCAGTTGTTTTACTCCTTGAATAGCTTAGCAGCATCAGCAAACCCTGTCATTTCACATCTCACCCCCATTTCCGAGATCACTTCTCTGACATGTCAGTGTATTGGCAGGTGTAGAACTGAGCCCAGATGCCTGTGGGAAATCCCCTGGTGACAGGAATTGTGAAAACTAATACTGTATTCCTGGCCCCAGTTTTTCTGTCTTTTAGCCAGTGTTTTCATCCACTTGAGAGCCTTACTGCTTATCCTGTAGTAGCTTTGTTTCTTTAAAAGACTTTGATAAAGGAGTCTGTCAAAGGCCTTTTGGAAATTGATTTATATTACTAACTGTAACTGCCTTGCTGCCATGCTTGGTGACTCTTTCAAGGAACTTAACTAGATTTGAAAAGCGTGACTTCCCTTTATGAAAGCATGTTGAAGCTTTCCCATGATCTATTTTGTCCAATCATCCTGTTTTTTATGGAAACATCTTCTAATTTGTTTAGTATCAACATCAGACTTACTGGTTTGCAGTTTCTTGATCCTTCCTTGGAACACAGTTCAAAAATTCATGTCATGATTATTGTATGCTATGAACAAGATTGCATGCTGCTTCCTTCACTATACTGTTGAGTGAGTCATGGGTATGTAAGAGAAATAAGCTATTTCTAGAGCTCCCTACTTCATTTGCTGCAAAACCTGGATGGTACAGAAAGAATTAGGTACAAAAGGAAGAGAAAAGACTGTTTGATGGTTAAGATAGTTAAATGCTGCCCTGGAGAACTAACCTACCCTTCACTCTGTCAGAATTGGAGTTCATTTAAAATAAAAAAAAAGTCTGAAGCAGCTTTAACTTGTATTTTTTTTATTTTCTAAGTGCCTCTTGTGAGGCTTTCAGTCTCATTTGCAGAAACAATGAGCAGGTTTGGCTTCTGCGTACAGGCAAAAAGCAGCTAGCTACTTACTTTTTAAAAGTACATCTGATGTGATTCAGTTTGGAAGCCTAAAATTAGGACATACTTTTTGGCCTTTAATTTTGTGCTTCCATTCCCCATCTGGAGGCAGGCAACAAAGACAACTGAGGCCAAAGTAGTATTATTTTGACTGTTTTTTATTTAACTGATATCGCAGTTAGGACCACTCTAGAAGACCTTCTAGGAAAATTTGAAGACCAAAATGTGGATAGAATATTCTTTCTAAGGCTTGGGGAGGCTATATATTTCAGAGAGAATCTCTGAACAGGAAACAGAAAATTAAGTAAATACTCAAGAAATAAGTGCTAATCTTTCTGCCTCATTTGGTGCAAGGAGGCATGTTCCAAATTCTGTAAGAAGGGACCTGTAAGGAAGAAAGGAAAAATAAAATGTCACTTGTAGTTACAGAAAATGTAATTTGCATCCTTTCTCCAGTTCAGTAAATGTGCAAACAAGCCACCTTGACTTGACTCTTTTAAAGTTTCATGGACACTATTGCGTAACTGTTTTAGAGGCTGATTCTGTGTTTTACAAATGAATTGTGGCACTTTATCACAGCGTCATCTTACCTTTGTAACCTACCTCGGCGTACAAGTATCAAATGTGGTATACAAGTGATCAGTGCAGTAGTTTATTTGAATGTATCATTTAGCACTGAAAATACCGAACATTTCTTTTACACATTTTTAGAGAAGATACATTGGGGAGGGACTGGCTTACGGAGTACAGGTGCATGCATGGTTACACTATTACGTTTGACTGTCTGTTCCCTCCCTTTTCTCTCTTCTCCTTTCATTCCTTTCTTTTTCTTCCCTTCCACTTTTTACCCCTTTTAGTTATAACTAAACTTTTCAGGGTTCAAAGTGTGGAAGTGTATTGGGTTTGCATGGCAAGGTGTTGGGAGCCGGGGGGCTACAGGGGTGTATTCTTGGCTTCTGTGAGAAGCTGCTAGAAACTTCCCCTGTGTGTGATAGAGCCAATGCCAGCTGGCTTCAAGACAGACCTGCCGCTGGCCAAGGCCAAGCCCATCAGCAACAGTGGTAGCGCCTCTGGGATAAAATATTTAAGAAGGGGAAAAAAAATCCTGCACAACTGCAGCTGGAGAGAGGAGTGAGAATATGTGAGAGGAGCAACTCTGCGGACACCAAGGTCAGTGAAGAAGGAGGGGGAGGAGGTGCCACAGGCACCGGAGCAGAGATTCCCCTGCAGCCCCTGGTGAAGACCATGGTGAGGCAGGCTGTGCCCCTGCAGCCCATGGAGGTCCACAGTGGAGCAGATATCCACCTGCAGCCTGGGGAGGACCCCATGCTGGAGTAGGTGGATGTCTGAAGGAGGCTGTGACCCCATGGGAAGCCCACACTGGAGCAGGCTCCTTGCAGGACCTGTGGCCCTGTGGAGAGGAGCCCAGGCTGGAGCAGGTTTGCTGGCAGGGCTTGTGACCCTGCAGGGGACCCATGCTGGAGCAGGCTGCTCCTGAAGGACTGCATCCTGTGGAAGGGACCCATGCTGGAGCAGTTTGTGAAGAACTGCAGCCCGTGGGAAGGACCCACATTGGAGAAGTTCATGGAGGACTGTCTCCCGTGGGAGGGACCCCACGCTGGAGCAGAGGAAGAGTGTGAGGAGTCTGAGGAGGAAGGAGTGGCAGAGGCAACGTGTGATGAACTGACCACAACCCCCATTCCCCGTCACCCTGTGCTGCTCCAGGGGAGGAGGTAGAGAAAATTGGGAGTGAAGTTGAGCCCAGGAAGAAGGGAGGGGTGGGGCGATGGTATTTTAAGATTTGGTTTTATTTCTCATTATCCTGCTCTGATTTGACTGTTAATAAATTAACTTATTTTCCGCAAGCTGAGTCTGTTTTGCCTGTGACGGTAATTGGTGAGTGATCTCTCCCTGTCCTTACCTCAACCCATGAGCTTTGTGTTACGTTTTCTCTCCCCTGTCCAGTTGAGAAGGGGAGCGATAGAGGGCTTTGGTGGGCACCTGGCATCCAGTCAGGGTCAACCCACCACAGGAAGATACTAAGTTCTTACGAGTTTCACAGTATTGATGGCTGGCCATCAGGCCAGTATGTATTGAAGAGCCAGCTGGCAGATGCAGTGCACAGAAAAGGCTATATAGCAAGTCTTGCCAGACAGTAGCTGGAGAGCAGAAGAGAGTGGTAAGAGAGGTTACCTTGAGGGAAGAGGGAGGAGCTGAAAGTATCGCACCATTGGAGTGGTTAAACATGCAGAAGAATCACTTCTGCTGCTTATGGAAGAACTTGTTCAGTTATTTTCACCTTCCCAAGATTTAGAATCTTTCCTCAGCACAAGAAGGACATGGAACTGTTGGAGCAAGTCCAGAGGAGGGCCACAAAAATGATCCGAGGGCTGGAGCACCTCTCCTACGCGGACAGGCTGAGGGGGTTGGGGGTGGTCAGCCTGGAGAAGAGAAGGCTGCGGGGAGACCTTATTGTGGCCTTCCAGTACTTGAAGGGGGCCTACAGGAAAGATGGGGAGAATCCTTTTAATAAGGCCTGTTGTGACAGGACAAGGAATAACGGATTTAAACTAAAGAAGAATAGATTTAGACTAGACATAAGAAAAATTTTTTACCATGAGGGTGGTGAAACACTGGAACAGGTTGCCCAGAGGGGTAGTGGAGGCCCCATCCCTGGCAACATTCAAGGTCAGGTTGGACGGGGCTCTGAGCAACCTGATCTGGTTAAAGCTGTCCCTGCTCACTGCAGGGGGGTTGGGCTAGATGACCTCTAAAGGTCCCTTCCAACCCAAAGCATTCTGTGATTCTATGAATTATGCAAGGCATTCATCCTAAATAGCAGATTCTGCTGGCAATAAAATACTTAATCTGAAAAGCAGCCAATATTTTTTTCTAATAGTTAGCTTTATAATGGCTAATCATACCTTTAAAATGTTTCCTTTAGAAAAGTGATCTTAAGTTGCCTTCTAGACAGATCTAATTTATAGGGTTATTCATGCCTCCTTACCAGCCCCCCTGATTTCTTTAAGATCTTAAATGATTTCCTCACTTTTCCAGAACAGCCTTTAAAAATCTCTTTTCAGATGTACATTAGGAGCCTGTTAGTCAATTTATTAAGTTCTAATTTTTAAACAGTGATATCAGAGAAGACTAGCACATATTTAGTGCATAAAAGAGGAACAGAAATATTTTAAATACTTCTGAGGCCTGAAGTGTTAGGAAAGGAGTCCTAAATTGAAGACCATAGAGTTGTTCTGCTCTTGTGTATACCCCCCAGCCCCCAATTTGTAGTTTAATTGTTCTATTCAGTCACAGTTGGGGAACTAATTACCATATAGGGCAGGCAATGCTTCATAACTTGTATGGATTGTGCTGAGAATTTTTTTTAGGAAAAGCAAATGTTGAATTTTGAGCTCTGAAGTTGCAGGAGCACAGGCTATCATTTTTTCTGATGCCATAAGAAAGAAACAAGTGAAGTTCATGCAACTGTATTGCTCAGCTCCCTCAACCATCTTACTGAAATAAGAAAGTAACTGTGAGCAACATAAAATGTTAGACAGTAGTCTGACAGTGGATATGGACACATGGTCCCTGTTGCCAAGTGGCTTTATTTAAGTGTTCTTCAGGACTGCCTGCCATCACCTGGCTGGCTGGAAACAGTCTCGTAAAACTGGTATAGATTCTTGAGTTTCAGAAGTGCGAGTTAGGTATGGGAAGGTAAATTAACTGTGGCTTGTCTTAAGAAAACCAATAAACTGCTTTTCTTAAAGGAACCATTTTACAATTGTGGGCAGCAATGTACAGTCCCTGATAGTCCTTCTGTGACTCAGCCATCATGTAAAGAGCAGGAAAAAGATTTTGTGATTGAGAGATGGTTAAGTGGTAGTTAAAAGAATTAATGCTTATCCGTGAAACTGAGTGAATAAATAGGATCAGAATGTGGATGATGGGATCAGATTTAAGAACTGAAGAATCTTACAGAGCATGTGAATTTGCAAAGGATGGCACAGACTGTTTGCTTAGTAGTCTTTTTTTGACTGTGGATCAGATTATAATCCATAAATTATGTGATGATTAAGGGCAGGGACCTGTACAAGCATGGTTATGTGTAAGGCTCCATGAGAAATCTAGTAGTTTGTGGCCAGAAAGTTTGGGAACAATTTGTTCTAGCATGTGACCAAAAGAGAAAACCGTAAGTACTCTACTGGTGCATCTACCTGGTTTTGTCAGTGGTAATGTGTAAAAATGTTGGTTTCATTTTGTAAATGCAGAAAGATCCGAAAATGTGGCTTGCAAACATTGGGAAACAGATCTGTTCTCCTGGTTTCTGGACTGGATGTGCCTTGGGTAATGAAGAATTAGAAATTGCTACCATCAGACAGCTGCTTGATTTAAATAAATGATTGTTTTTACAATTTAATTTGATTTGGTTTCTGTCCACAGTATCAGAGCAGCCACAATAAGCAGCTGTCTTTACAGTCTTAATGGCAGGGGCAGAATCGGTGAATTAGTACCTCCTTCTAACCTCAAGTTGAAATATCAGCAGGGTCATTGCGTAATGGGCAGATTAAAATGACTGTACAGGTTTGTGACACTTTAAGGGCTTGCATGTTGAGCTTAGCACTAAACTAATATAGTTGCACAACTTTTGGGTTAGAGGTGACTTACAGAAGGGTGGAGTAGACTGCATAGCAAAACTTAAATTTGCTTAAATGTCACGTGGTCACCAGCTCTACTTTCTAGTAGTTTGCTGTGCTCCTCTGGCATGTGCATTTCACTATCAATGATAGTCCCTGCGATGTCCTGTCCTTGGTGTCTTCTCTTCGGCTACTTCTTTGACACCAGTCAGTGATCTAACTTAAGACCATATCTCATTAGGTCACTGTCTGAAACAAAGCTATGTTGTTTGAGGCCTCATAGGCATCTCCTCTACTTGCTTCTTTTCCTCATCTTGTATGTGTCAGTGAGACTCTGCTACAGGATGCTTTATCTTGAACTACAATATGTGGTGGTTATAGGGTGTCCCTTTTCCTCTTCAAGACAGAAAGTCTCCGCTGTCTAATTTCAAAAGTTTGATCTTGTTTTACCTATATGTATTGTCTTATAAATACTTTCTTTAAATCTTAAAGTATCTTTTATGAGAAAATCAAGTCTAAATTGCATTGTCTTCCAAAGATGATTATATTTATTTGGATCTCTTCCTTTTGGTTTGTACTTACATATGTGAACTGGTGAAAACACCATTAACTATAAGGTCTGAGCTCTTGTCTTCCAAAAAGTGAATTCTGTCAACTTGGATTCATTTGGTGCTAGGATTCTGCCTTGGGTTTATGCAAGCAGAAAGCACTCATTCTGCAGATTGCTAGAAATCCTTGCATACCTGTAATTAACTTTAATTTATGATTACTTCCAAATTACTGTGGAGGAAAATTTTATTACATTAGACACAAGTATCTGATGATGAGTTATCTTCTTTTTTTTTGCAGTGGGATGTTTGTTTACTTTAAACATTTGCTCAGATACTGTCTCATTAGGTGAAAGACTATTTTAGGTACTCCTTTTTCCATCTTCTTCCCTGCAGGTTCACATGTTCCTCCCAAATTCATTACATTTCTCCTATACTTCCTTAAGAAGAAGCATTTGTATTTACAAAAGAGAGCATATTTGCCAAGACAGTAGGCTTATCAGGCCATGTGAGTACTTGTATTTCATACAAACATGAAAGTGAATTTTTGCTCCATTCCGTGTGAAGTAAGAGTTTTAAGATCTGGTCCCAAAAGGGCAATTTCAGTAGTTATTGAGCGCTAAATCCTTTTGCAAATGGTTATTTCATGATTTTAAAGAGGCTTTTTCTGTTTCTTTACAGTCACTCTTGGAAGCACATGATATTGTGGCTTCAAAATGTTACGATTCCCCTCCTTCTAGTCCAGAAGTCAATAATTCTTCAGTGAACAACCAGATTGTTCCAGTAGATGCTATTCGTATTCTTGGAATTCACAAAAGAGCAGGAGAACCACTGGTAAGTAATTGAAGATGAGTGTGTCTTTAATTTAAAGTGCGAGTGAAAGCATTTGCATGTGCCTAATTTCTTGCATTATGTTTTAATTTTTTCTATTATTATATTGTGTAATTTAATGGGTGATAGGATCAGTATTGAGAGGTTGAAATAAGAATATATTTGTGTGTTCTCCATCCTGTTCTCTTTAAGAAATTATGGGATAGTGAATAGGCAGTCACTAGCCTGAATGACTTGCTAGCATAACTAACTAACACAACATCTGTTTGGTTATGATCTGATACAAAATGACAGGATTGCATGCAATCAAGAACAATACAGTCATTGTTCAGTCATATGAAAACGTTGTCTGAAAGCACTTTTGTGTCACCTGACACTTACCTGTGTATTAGGAACTCTTACACTGTAGTAACTATTACTGTCTCTCTTCATTGGGGTAGAAAGAATGTTCCATAGCTGTATATTTTTGCTTGAGATAATGGTAAAATGAAATTGAAATTCAAAGAATGGTAAACTAGGTGTCACATACCTCTTTCAGGGTGTTACATTTAGAGTTGAGAACAATGATCTGGTAATAGCACGGATTCTTCACGGCGGAATGATAGATCGACAAGGTCTTCTGCATGTAGGTGACATTATTAAAGAGGTGAATGGCCATGAGGTTGGGAACAATCCAAAAGAATTGCAGGAACTGCTGAAAAATATTAGTGGCAGTGTCACTCTGAAGATTCTCCCCAGCTACAGAGATGCTGTTATTCCTCAACAGGTCAGTAGCACATTTGTAACAATTCTGTCAAAAGAACTTCTGCTTGATACCGTATCACATAATCTTATTTTAAGATTTTGGATTAGACATATTTTGATTATTTTGTGTATTTAATGCTAGCAGGAAGGCTAAAATGTAGATACCTGTATTCACCTGTAAGTACATTCTGGAAATTGGTTTATTCAGTAGATTAATACCACGCCTGATATGCCTGCCTAAAAAATTCTAATTAGTATCTGAGGTTGATAAGCATTTGTATACTACGTATAAAGCATGTTGCTTTGACATCCAGTGACCTCTGATGACCTAGCCACAATCACACTAAACTGCGGTGAACTGCATGTGTTTGTAACACGATCAGTGTCCAAGCAATCTGTTTCATAGGATTCAGAAACTTTTTCAGTTCAACAGATGAGCTTGAACTCGCTGACTTATGTAGGAACTTGGATGGTGGCTATTCCTTATCCTTTGGTTGGTGCTGTAGGCTGTCGATTTCTCCACTGCAGAAATAACTTGTTGCTCTAAATCAGTGCATTTGAAATATCTTGTAAGACACTCCTTCAGGTAGTGGGTCTTAATGCCTGTGACTGTAATAGACTATGCTTACACTGAGTACATGCGGAGGGAATGTGCTGTATTTGAGGCAGGTGCACTGCTGCCTTTGCTCCCCAACCTGATAGAAAAGAGTCAAAGATATTTCCAGTCTACTGATGCAACGTACTGTTTCTTCCCCTGCATCAAGTTTGATTCTTAAGCAGTCGTGTATCTTGTTCGTTTTAGAACATTGCATTCATGGCAAAATTAATTCTTGAGATTCCACAAGCCTTGAACACAGTGATCGCATTCTGAGAATTTTTTATATTTTTAAGTAATTTGAAGTCAGAATACTAATTGAGTTGTATATACTGAAATGCAAAAATGAGTGTTTTGTAATACATTGTCCAAATAGAACAGTTGGCTTTTTATTTTTATCATGAAGCGCCTTCAGCCAAGGTTTGCACTGCTGATTATTTCTACTCTCTCAGCTGCTATATGTCAGTTTTTTTCCATAGATTGTATTTTACTTGCCAAATGTAACTTGTCAAACTTTTCCTGTCAAACTTTTTATGCTGTAGGTATAAAGACATTACTTTTTTATAATATAATGTATTTTATAATGTTTAAGCTTTTTATAATGTTTAAGCTTTGTAAATTTTTACACATTTCAGGTTTTTGTGAAGTGTCATTTTGATTATAATCCATATAACGACAACCTCATCCCATGCAAAGAAGCAGGTCTGAAATTTTCTAAAGGAGAAATTCTTCAGATTGTAAACCGGGAAGATCCAAATTGGTGGCAGGTTGGTAAAAAGATTTAAAAAGAAAAAAACCCAAACGAAAAGCTTCACTGGTTGCCTTAATAATAAACTCTTTAAATTATGATCTACTTCCATTTAACAGTAGACATAAGAAAAACTATTTACACTGCAATCCAATCTCAAGCTAATATCAAGGTATTAACAATTGAAATATTAGAGAAAATGGAATGGTGTAAGTTGCATATGTAACACTCATTTTGCTGTTACTACTATTTATTTGTCTTTGTTCTTGTATCATAAGCTTAGACATTACAAAACCAGTTTAAGTGGAGAATTTTTAGCAGAAGGTCTTAGGTTGACTATGTTAACTGTGGTAAGCCTTCCCTGACAGTGACTGGGGAAGAAGTGGACCCCTTCCTGAGTGCCCAGAGTTGAGGAGAGAAAGGGAAATTAACCCTGTGTATTTGAAGAGGGGTGAGAATAGCTATTTGGAGAAGCCTTTGTAAGCTTTACAAAGCTTATATCTTTTATTTCCACAGTGGTGGTCAATGTCTGTGAGCTGTAACATGCATGTTCATAATCAAAGTGTTTGGCACTATTTCAAATATTAACAGTTCATCCTGCTTTAAGGTTGTATTTCTACATTCAGTCCTTCAGTAGGAATGTAATCCAGTGCTTATGCTATTTTTTCAAGACAGTATACACACAATTAAACATCATCAGTGCCTTTTAAAGTGGGATGAGTGAGCCTTTAAGACGCTTTTCTCAACCGAGATACTCAACATGGCAAGTGGCAGTGGCGATCTAGGCAAAGAGTTGAGCATTGTTAATTTCTCTTTCCACCCCTAAATTGCTCACCCTTTAACAAGCAATAGTGAGCCAAATGTTACTTGAGAGCAATATATGTATAACTTCTTTAAAAGCAACAAAAATACTTGAATATACATCAACAACTGTTGCTGAATTCTGTTGCTTGTCAGTGACTGTAATAACAGAAAGAGAATAAAAAAAGTGTGAGGGAAGGCAGAAAATTTATTACTGCCAAGTTAATTAGTTTCAGAAGTTAGACACTCCAAAACTCTGGAGTAGTTTGACATTTAGCTTACATGCTGTCTTCTGTATTGCTTTTCAAATTCTCCAGCTTGTAAGTTGTGGGATTCCAGGAGAGATAAATCTTAAATCTTAAACACCCAATCAGTGGCAAAAATGAAATGCATTAAACCAGCATAGTGTGTTGCAAGTATTGCTATGCAGATCATGCCACTGGGAAAAAAAGTTAGTTTTTCCTTGTGCTTTCTAGAAATGCTAGACTGCTACTGAAAACTTGCTAACTGCAAAAAATCAGTTAGTCGTAGGTAGAAGCATACAAGTTGAAAAGCAAACAGTTCCTGTTAGCAAGAGACGGGTCAACCAGTTATGGAGAAGAAAAGTGTAACGTTTTGTAACTGTGTGTTTCTGTGTGTTAAACTTGCTGAGAATTGAGCTTGCCATGAAATTATTTTATAGAGAATATTAGCCAAACTTTCATTACCAGGAATACGTAAGTTACTAAGACTTTAAATCTGTAGTTACTTAGTGCAAAAAACTTGAAGGCATGATTAGGCATGTGTTAATGGCATTCACCGTTTGCGAAATGAGAGTTAATAAGCTGCACTGGAACCTGTTTGGAGCAGCTCAAGAATACAATGTAAGTGTACTTGTGTACTAGAAAGTCTTGAGTTTTGTCACTTGAGAATTCAATGTCTGGAGCCATACAATTCCATTTAGGATTTTGATGCCAAAAGTTTATGGCTGTAGGAACTTACTAACTTAATGGGAACCAGTAATGAAACTTCTGTGTATTTTATTTAAGTTTCTTGAATGGCAAGGCACTTTTACTGTGAGACACAATTTTAATAGCCGCATCTGAATTTGAATTTCCAAGTCTCAGTAGTAAATGTATCGATACTCACCATTGAGAAACTGGTAGTGTGAAAGTCAGTCAATACCATGTCGATAAGAAAAATGCTTCTCACAAGTTACCTATGATTTTTATTTTTTATTTTTCCAGGCTAGTCATGTCAAAGAAGGAGGAAGTGCAGGGCTTATTCCTAGCCAGTTCCTGGAAGAGAAGAGAAAGGCCTTTGTTAGGAGGGACTGGGACAACTCAGGTGAGATTTAATTAATTTCAGGAATAGATTTTGCTCTGACTCCATTTGTTTTGCTTTTCCTGCCTTCATAGATGCTAGAAAACTGCTGTGTGAGAATACACAGAATACTGTGAAATGCCAATTATTATATTTTGGCTTTGACTGAAGGACAAAGGCTGAAGTCTATCTTTAGTCTTCATAGATACATGAATCAGTTTTTCCACCTGCTGAGGAAAAGCTAAATGAGGTGGGAAAGATATAAGAATTAGCTTTTTTTTAAAAAATTATGTTTTTATAGTATGCACTGAAAGTTAATAATTTAAACATATTTGATGGATTTTTCTGCTGCTTTATACAAAACTTTCTAGGAAAATTAATTTTTTCTCTATGTTCGGTTCTTACTATACCATTTGATGTGTATGAAAATAGATGTGATCTGCCCTAAAATATATATAAAATTCTAAAATGGTCCTTGTAAATTTAATTAATCTAAACTCACATATGTTCAATTAAATAAGCTTTGGAAAAACACATTTAACAAAAATGATGAGTTTGTCTCAATTTTTATTTCTAGGGCCTTTCTGCGGAACAATAAGCAGCAAAAAAAAGAAAAAGATGATGTATCTCACTACAAGAAATGCAGGTACCTCTCAATATTACATACGAATCAAAGTTCTCTAGGCTTCTAAACTTGCAGAGTCTAGTGTATCCAAGGCTGAAAGATTTGCAGTAAAATATTTGATTATAAATTTGATAGATCAGGTAGTTTTTGTGGTTTAAAAGCAATAGTGACCAGTGGAGGTATGGTGGTGCTGAGTACATCTTTTGGTAGGTGGAAGTCAGAGAAGAACTTTGTGTTAAAAGAGAAAAAAAAGTGAAAGCTTTGTTGCCAGCAGGTTGAGGGATGTGATCCTTGCCCTCTACTCAGCACTGGTGGGGCCACACCTGAAGCGTACTGGGCTCCTCCTCAGTGCAAGAGAGATACGGACATACGAAGGTGATGAAGCGGCTGGAGCACCTCACATTTGAAGAAAGGCTGAGAGAGCTGGGACTGTTCAGCCTGGAGAAGAGAAGGCTCAGGGGGGATCTTATCAATGTGTATAAACCCCTGAAGGGAGGGTGCAAAGAGGACAGAGCCAGGCTCTTTTCATAGGAGCCCAGTGACAGGACAGGAGGCAACAAGCAACACCACAGGAGGTTCCCTCTGAACATCAGGGAACACTTTTTCTACTGTGAGGGTGACTGAGCGCTGGTGCAGTTTGCCCAGAGAGGTTGTGGGGTCTCCTTCCGTGAAGATATTCAACAGCTGTCTGCACGTGCTCCTGAGCAACCATCTCCAGGTGGCCCTGCTTGAGCAGCGGGCTAGACTAGATGATCTCCAGACCTCAACCATTCTGTGATTCAGTGAAAACTCACTAATTTTTAATCACCATTTGCCCATTCTGATCAATCCCAAATTTTCTGCTTGGAAGTAAAGGTAATAATCTGACTTTATGCTGTCCATGAAGGGGTAACTATTTTATTCCCATACCCATTTAAAGCAAGAAAGCTTGTATCAGACTTAATGCCCCTTGACTACTATTTATATTCACATGTGGTCTATTGATATATAGCAGGACTGCTTATTTTTTTTTCTTACAGTACTGACTGTGTATTAACTATTTGTTGTACACTTCTCAATGTAGAATTTGATCGTCATGAAATCCAGATCTATGAGGAAGTAGCCAAAATGCCTCCTTTTCAGAGGAAAACGCTGGTCTTAATTGGGGCCCAAGGAGTGGGGCGAAGAAGTTTGAAGAACAGGTTTATAGTACTGAATCCTACTAGGTTTGGAACTACAGTGCCATGTAAGTTGTCAGCATTCCTATTGTAATATCATCCTCTGAGTCTCTGATTATCTAGAAAATACCTGATGTTTATCCCAGTGATTCAGGGTAGGAGTAATTTTGTCACAGTACAAAAATTGTATAGAGTGGGAAAACAAAAGGTTCTTTATCTTCTCAGGCAACTGGACTAACATATGATGATAGTGAAAATATTTGTAACTAGCAGTTAAATGTTACTAGTGCTGCAGAAAACCAATTTTTGTATGTGCAGTATTGCAGTCTGTTAGGTTGCTTCAGAGTCAGTCACCATCAGTTACTGAGGGGATTCTAGAATTTCCTAGTAGTATTTTGTAATGAATGGCCAGTGGAGTTTCTCAGGTCTGCTGTTTATGTTTCCCTCTGTAGAAGCACCGTAGGCATTATAAATTGTTACTTCAGTATTAGAAATGTAGGG